GGTGCTGCAGATGCAGGAGCTGCTGACGGGCCAGCCTCCGTGGTTAGCAACTGGCCCTCCGACGTTTGCGGCGTTGCATTACCAAATCGTCTCTGGTCCGTCTCCTGTTGTCGTTGACTTCTGGGACGGATACCCTCCGTGTCGTCTTTAGGTAAAATCGGCATATTTGATCCCACTTCTGACACCAATTGTTACGAGCTTGGGATTCGAGACAATTAAAAACTGCCGATTGAATTACCAAAATTGACACTTTAATTACACAACACTAATTACAATCTAAAATCACACTAATAATAAAACACAGTTCGCCGTTATTTCGCTTCGGAGTATTCTCTTGTATCGCCAATTCAATACTGCCCCGGTCGTGGTCTATACCGGCCTTATATAGGGCCTCAGATAGTTTCCAGAACCTTCTACTGTAGCGACATCGAGAATGTTCGAGTACATATCGGTCCCGAAATTTCTGGAAGGATCACGACTCTCCTAGTTCTGCTACTCGACGCTAGAGGGCGCTAGTGTGACTAGTGTTGCCATGTACAAGACATTAATAGTGGCGCGCAATACTTTCATTTACTCGACACTAGGGGGCGCTAGTGTAACTAGTGTTGCCATGTACAAGACATTAATAGTGGCGCGTAACAATATTATGATTGTTTTATCTTGATTAATGTAAAGTATTTTACAAATCCATTCATACAGCTTATAAAATTTCATAGTTTGGAATAGTTTTTGTTCTAATTGGTAGTTTTAATTGTAGTAGGATAGACAAGCCCTTTTTAAATTCTTAGATTTTTAAAACTTGGGACATAAAAGTTATAACCAGTTTTATTTTTTAAAGTTACGTACTAATGTAGATTGTTACACACATGTATATAAACATTGTTTTGGTGATAAAGTGGCATAGATATGTACTTTATACGTGGTACAACCATGCTGCAGCTATATTAGTAGTATAGTTGTAGCACGAATGTGTCGGCTCGACCGGGGAAGGACTACGCTCTCACAGATTACCAGCGTAAAATGGCAGCTTGACACTGCTGTGTTTCGTATGGTGAGTGTAGAGAACCGGAGACCCTTTTTACTGGAAATGAAGCATTCCATCTTAGTCCTCACGGGTGACAACGCATGTGCATTTTGACTCACAAGCGAGGATAGATGTAGATGTCTATGGGTCACAGCAACCACTTACCATTAAAAAAAAAAGTGATATACATTCTGTAAACACTAGGAACAAACACAAGCTAGTGATGCCAGTTTCTCGACTCCACAGAGTCAGTAATGCATTCTTGGGGCAATGTATACGCTATTACAACAAGGTCCCGGAAAATGTACAGGTTCTCTCTATTACCAAGTTTAAATGTTTTATTAAGCTGAAACTGTATAAAAAGGGTTATTATAGTATAAATGAATACATGGTTGATAATAACCCCTGGGAATGAGGTGGTCGCTTCCAAGCAGTTTCTAAAATAAATTTTGTAAATAGTTCGTAATCATTTATATTGTAAAATTTATTTAAAAAAAAAGTCCCGCTGGGTTTCTTGCTGGTTCTTCCCAGGACAGAGGGTTTTTTTTCGAACCAGTGGTAAAGTAAAAAATGACTTTCAATAAGAATTACACATGTAATGTATATTGAATAAAAAATATTCTATTTTATTCTATTCTATTCATCAGGTGGACTGTGTGCTTGTTTGTCACCCTATTCTATATATAATAAAAGTAAATGTTCTAGATTGTTTGTCGCTACCTTTGTAGTGTTTTACTTACATAAGTAGGTAGATTAAGATGAGGATCGTACCTACTCAGCGGGAGTGCATTAGGAGATACCTATACCCAGCAGCGGACTACAGCAGTTTGATGATGATGAAGTTCTGATGGGGTTTGAGTGTATGAGTAAATAAATAAAACTATACTTTGTTTTTGTAATTGTAGTCACAAACCACAATTCATTACAACAGCAAGTAACTCAAATGAACTGAAAGACAGATTTTCTTTACTTGTCAAATATTAATCACAAAAACATTCCTATATTTAAATTGTTAACCATTATAATGTTATGCAACAATTATGCATTCTTAGGTATAATATATGTGTTTAATTATATATATTCCATATGCTATAACTATAATATAAATAGAGCTGCAACATGGCTCAAAATAAACACTGTATACTGACTATATACAAAATATTCATAATAAACACTGTATACTGTCTGTATACAAAATATTCATAGTAAACACTGTATACTGTCTGTATACAAAATATTCATAATAAACACTGTATACTAATTGTATACAAAATATCCATATTAAACACTGTATACTGACTGTATACAAAATATTCATAATAAACACTATATACTAATTGTATACAAAATATCCATATTAAACACGGTATACTGACTGTATACAAAATATTCATAATAAACACTGTATACTAATTGTATACAAATATCCATATTAAACACTGTATACTGACTGTATACAAAATTTTCATAATAAACACTATATACTAATTGTATACAAAATATATATATTAAACACTGTATAACGACTGTATACAAAATATTTATAATAAACACTGTATACTGTACTCTATCTGTTTCTCTTACAGGCTAAATCCTATAGATGCATATGTTTGTCTCTTTTTAGTATCGTTTTTTTTTCGTTTCGTCACAACGATTTTTAAAAGAAGTTTTCACTTCAGCAAATAATAGAAACATCAACAGGTACGGTGCACTAAAATACGAGAGGGTACCAACTTATGCACTAAAAAGACAACATATTTTACGTGGTACATCAGTTATTATTTGTTTTGTTAAGTTATTTTTGGTTATCACATGCAATGTCTACCAGCTGCTCAAATTTCGGGAGCGTAAAGTAGTTTTTAATAATTTTGTACAACAGAATTCAATATAAATTGTTAAGAATAACTCAATAACCATTGGTCTGACCTTTATCAAATTTATACACGACCAAATGTGAAGCACCAGCTTTCAAATAAAAAAAGAATCATCGAAATCGGTTCACGCAGAACCCATAAAAAAAAACCAGTCGAACTGAGTACCGTCCCTTTTTGAAGTCAGTAGAAAACTGAAATGCGTTGGATTACTTCAAGTAGTATTAATTCAAAGAGGCCGTTCATGCGAAGACATTGGACTCTGTAACTAAACACTAGGAACTTATATAATAATGCTGATGTGTTACTTTAATTGATTAGCATAAAATATAAATGATACAGTATTGTTAGAAATTATTCTTAAAATTATTTAAATAAAAGAACACTCGGTAACAAGCACACCTTACCATCAGAAACCATTCTGGACGCCAATTGTTAAAGACAATGAAGGTGTAAGATCGTATGCTCAACTCGCCCTCTCTCTTGCCCACGCAGCCAATCATTAACAGCAACAATACATTTCGACCAACCGTAACGTGTTCCCGTCACAAGCACACACCAGTGTAACGTGAAGGACCAAATTACATGATAACACTAAAGTATGCAAACGAACAGAAACACTACACATCTCAATGTAACACTGGGCAATCTCTCAGCAACACGACCTTCCTTGCCTGCACTAGAAGAATACCCCAACGGGTATAGTAACGACAGTGGTACTCTAAGAATTACAGACTGATGCCTATTAGTCGCCTGTGCAATACTTTATACTGCTAAAACAAGTGGGAGATTACCATTCTACCTTCATTTGTTCGTATTTCCTTTTATTTTTTGACCCTCATTACCAACAGTATAATAAGAATTTATACAGTCATAGTTATAGTCATTTATTCCATAGAAAAATATTACCCAACGGACATAGTAACGACAATGAGACTCTTAGAGTTTCATTGATGCCTCCCAGTCGCCTGCGCGGCACTTTATACTGCTAGAACAAGTAGGAGGTTACCATTTCATTTGTTCGTATTTCATTTTCTACCCTCATTCCCAACAATATTATATATTTTAGTTAAAACAGAGGGCAGGGTGTATCCATAACTAGTTAGTCAAGTTATGCAGGGGCCGGAGAACGTTCTAAAAATACTAATATTATTAATTAAAATGAATGAATGAATGAATGAATTTCTTTATTTTGCAAATATGGGTGATACAGAATGTGGTGACAAATATGTAGTATATATTCCACCACCATATTTTACCAGAAGGCATGCAAAAAATATAATTTTTCTTATCAATTTACTTAGATATGTCATTCACAACACAACACAATACATTAGATTAACAAAAATAAAGAAGTCTCTTCAAATTATATGTAAGTCTAGTCAATCGGTACATTATTATCACTATTATTTAATTGTTATAAGCCATCATCAAATTAATTACATTAATAATAATACAATTAATAAATAAATATTCATGTGACAAACATACAAATTTTAACACAACATTTTGTCCATTAAAAATACATTAATATTATAGTACACCTTGTCTGCTAAAAGCTTGAAGCCTTGTCTTAAATAATGAAGTGTTAAGATCCATCCAACACTTGGGTAATTTGTTGTAAACAGCTGGCCCCATACAACACCATCAGACACTGTTGCGTATTAGTGCTGTTTTTCCCTTAGGTATGTAAACTCTACTATTGTCGCGTCTGTTTCTCGGGTAAGGTCTGCCAGACACTTAAAAACGGTTCTGGTTCGACTTTACAAAGACTGCTATCTCTAATATATATATATACAAGGTAGAGTTAATATTTTATATTGTTTAAAATATGGCTTAAAGCTATCGGTACCCTTCAGCTTAAACATGGAGTGTATACACCTTTTTTGTTGATGATGTTAAATCGCTACAAAAACTCGCTTAAGACTAACTTAATATTCAATGCTTAAATACTAATGCGTGAAAGCCCACACAGGAGCTCGGTAGTTGCCGTTTGTCCACTCAACACATGCCTGTGGTCTGCAATCAAAATAATCTGCTGACGCGGACATCTTGGTGGGTCCCGCCACCCGTAACAAGTTCTAATAATATTTGTTTCTTTGCAGGCCATATAAACTATTTGCAACAGTCGGGACCTATCACCGCTGAACGCAGAGAGCTGGAGGCCTGTCTCCGAGTGCAGATTGAAGAGATGGAGAGAAAACTTAACGCTCTGGTAACCAATGCTATATATGCCTTTTTATTAGTCATTAATTAATTCATTCATTCATTTCAGCGTATCAAAAGACATAGAGCTTTTTGCTTGTAATGGGCTATACAGTGCGGCCATTTTAACTAGGTCGCCCAAAACTTCACTGTATGTGGATTTAGGAGCCCAATGGTATAGATGTGCGGACGTGGTAAGCTAGAGATATACTTTCTATCATCTTTTATGGCATTTGACATAAACATTCATCGTCATCATCATTACAGCCCCATCACAAAGTCCATTGCTGAACATACGCCTCCCCCAAGGAATGCCACAAAGCATGGTCCTGAGCCACCTGCATCCAGCGACTTCCTGCATGTCTTACCAGGTCGTCACTCCCATCTAGTGGCGGGACGCCCTCCACTTCGTTTACCGGAGACTGCCATTCGAGAACCTTTATTCCCCATCGGTTGTCGGTTCTTCCAGCTATATGGCCGGTACATTGCCATTTCAGCTTACTAAACCGTTGGGCTACGTCGGTTACACTGGTTCTACTGCGGATATCCTTCTAAGGCTATCACGCAGAGAAAACCTGAGCATAGAGCCCTCTCCATACCTTGCTGTAGTGACCCTGATATATATTCTGCAAAATTTACATATATTGCTTAGTTACATTAATTTGTGTTCCACAGGTGGCCCAAATCAACCAGTCCCAGATGGAGCTGGTGGATCGAATGAAGGACAACATCGCCAATCTTCGACAACTTCAAAGCCAGGTCTTGGATGAGGAGCTGATCAAGTAAGACCGGTTTTTTTTTTCATTCTATAAACAGATCTGCACTTTTTAGTGTTTTTTTTTCATAGTATAGGGTAACAAACGAGCACATAGTCCACCTGTAAGTGGTTGCTGTGGTCCATAGAAATCTACATTTATCCTCGTTTGCTAATCAAACTGCCGATGCGTTGTTTGCCGTGAGGACTAAGATGGAATGCCTCCTTTTCAGTAAAAAAGGGCCTCCGGTTCTCTACACTCACCATACGAAACACAGCAGTGTTAAGTTGCTATTTGCTGGTATTCTGTGAGAGCGTGGTCCTTCCCCGGTCGAGCCATAATGAACAATGTTATTTACAATGGACTTTATTAAACCATTGGTTGGTCAAGTGTCGTAAAATTAAATCATTGTTCCAGATGGAAACGGGAACAGCAGTTGAGTGGCAACGGTGTGCCCATGCAATCTAACCTGAACACCATCCAGGAGTGGTGCGAGATGCTGGCCGACCTCATCTGGACCAGTCGGCAGCAAGTCAACAATGTGGCGCGCATCAACAGCAAGACTATAGTCGAACTGAGGCAACCTCATCTTGTTGAGATGTTGGACGATATGAGCAAACAGGTGGGTAACTTCTAAACTTTTTTACCCGACTGTCTCAGAATGAGGTTTATGTTATTGGAGAGTATGTATGTATGTATGTATGTAATATATATATATATATATATATATATATATATATATATATATACATATATATACACAAGAAAGATATATATATATATATATATATATATACAGGGTGTTTTTGGAACGCTCCCGAAAACTAAGGCAGGCGACAACACCAAGTATACCTTTGATCATGGGTCACAAATAAATTCGATCCTGATGAAAAAAAAAACATCTTTTTACAAGGTTTTATTAGCTTTATTCACGCGCCATCATGTTAGTACAGCTAAATGAAACGATAACTTCATAAAAAATATCATGAAAATACTGAAATATAAAACCAGCAGTGGAATGACTGAATTGATATCACCTGACCTGAGCTAGATAAAGGTCAATGTACGCGCGAACACAAATTCGCGCGGCCCGCAACTAGCGGGCCATCCCACAATATAATAATTTACAACACGTGTCTAAATACCTAACTTATCTACTTAACCTACTATTTTGCCACTGTGCTTATCTCCACGTAGCCACTTTAATCCGAATTTACAGGTTAAATAACCCAAATAACTGGTTCGATTCCCCGCTAATGAAGAAATACTTAAATGAAATGTAACCAAGGTTGGAGTCATGCGTTTTTATTCATCGTGTAGGTATGTTTATTATTCTCATGTATTCAGTTATGTACCTATTCAGATTAGTCTAGTACTAAGTTATTTAAAAAAAAATAGTTATGAAACAGCTTACTGCTCTAAATCCTCCGTGGTCTTATGAGATGCGGCTCAAATTGTGCTCCATTCATTTCAAGGCAGATTTGGGTGCAGGCGGGGCATCATCGTGTGGTCTTCGACACAGTCCGTACGTAGTTTCTCGAAAGCATCCACGATCCTTTGGCGCATTTCTTCAGCACTATCACATTCACGATTAAAAACCCTTTCTTTCACATACCCCACAAAAAGAAGTCTAACGGAGTCAGATCTGGTGAGCGAGGTGGGCAAGCGTGTGGTCCTAGTCTGCCGATCCAGCGATCATCAAATAGCTCATTGAGGCGCTCACGGATGAACCTCACGAAATGTGGAGGGGCACCATCATGTTGGAACTATGTGCGGCGATATTCAGCCAACGATAGGTCGTTTAAAATGTCAACCAACTGTTCATTTATAAAGTTTAGGTATCGCTGTCCGTTCAGTCGCTCTGGCAGAAACACTGGTCCCAGTATGCGATCCTTAAATAAACCTGCCCATACGTTAACCGACCATCGGGTTTGGTGCTCGGTTTGTCGAACAGCGTGCGGGTTAACCTCTGAATACACGTGTGTATTTCTTCGGTTCCACAGGCCGTTTCTGGTAAATGTCGACTCATCCGTCCAGATAATGTGCTCAATGGAACCAGGCACACGTTGTTGCTGGTATAATAACCAACGGCAGAAAACTCGTCGGCGGTCGTGATCGCCGGGAACTAAAGCTTGCACTTTGTGCATTTGTATGGGCGCATTGGTTACGCTTCAACACTTTGTGCACTGCACAGTATGACACACTTGTACCATCCCGACGTCTTAACAATTTATTTAGCAATACTTCGTGTACCTAGGTTCGGATACCTAACATGTTGACCACTATAAACGTACGCGTTAGGCATTATTAAAACAAAAAAGAATCCAAAAACGTAACAAAAACTTTAATATCAACACGTAATCACAAGTAAATTTATTAAACAAAACGATTGAACTGTCGCTCGCGCACGCGTGTACAAAATCAACACGGAACTGTCTCAAAAACTAAAACGAACGAACCCCGTCAAGGCTGAAACCTACTGCGTCACAAGCGTGAGGCGACAGGGTTAGGCATTCTGCCGTCATAATAAAAAAGGAAGTAACTAACAAAAACGTAAAATGGAAATAAAAAATAAATTGATGAATTTTTCTTTCAGACCCCGTGTCTAAAGTATATTAAAAGGTATCTATATTGAAATATATACGTAGAGACATGAAGATTTTAAGGACGAACTTATTTTTTTTTAATTTGTTTATTTATTTAAATAAAACGAATTTTCCTTTTCATCTTAGATTAAAAAAGTACACCTGGCAACACAAAAACATCGAAGGAAAGACGCATATAACTATTTGGGTCTTCCCAACCTAATAAATAAAACAAAACTACCATTCATTTAACATTTTTACATATTTTGGAAAGGTCATTTGAAGTTGAAAGGACGCTAATAGTAATTTACTACTTTTTTCTTAGTAAATATTAGAAAAGCATTGGTAGTGAGACACAAAAAATAACAACCCGCAACTCTTGAGTAATGATTTTAAAGGGGATATCATACAAGACTTACTACGATAATAATTAAAAATTAAAACATTTGTACAACCGACTTTAATATAAATAATGAAGGATAACTCAAAAAATATTGGTCTGACCTCGATCAAATTTATATGGGACCACATGTGAAACACCAGCTCTTAATAATAAGATATGAGCTCTTAATAATAAGATATAAAATAATAAGACAAGAATAATTTAAATTTAAGTAATCGATGCAAATATTGTTAAAGATGACGTAGCAACTGGTTAAATAAGTCTTTTCTTTTATGTTGAATTTGTATAAGTCTTTTCTACTAATAAAATGTCATCTGTGATCAACAGCTACGTCTAAAATTCTGACGATAATTTCTAAAATATTGATATTAGTGAATATTAAAAAAATTTAGTAGATGCGTCTTCTTATCATGAGTCGAATGGTAATTTATTCGAAAATTGTTAGATGCGCCTTTTTTTCTTATGACCGCAGCATTGTTTCATACCGAGCTAGATACAGGTCGACAGCGGAGGGAGTGTGGGTACAGTCGCGTTCTAAAGTACTACATGGTATTGGGCTATTGTTTTATAATATTATAGTAATTAATTGTTTTATTGTAGAATCATAATAGGTGTTTTACTAGCTACTTAGAACTTTGGAAGAGGTGGGAATTAAAAATAGATAATGTTTACTTGAGCATTGTTTGTTATTTCTATCGTAAAATATAAAGTAGTTTGTAACAAAAAAACTTAAGCTAAGGGTGACACGCCGTCCATTATGACGTCTTGGGTCACATGGAAGCCAGATGTTGATGGTGTGTTGGTGTTACTGGATGCTACTTCATCATCACTTTCATCTTCGCTTGAGCTTCCGTCATCAGGTCGATCACATGGTAATTTTTTCGGTATTCTTCCTCAACAATTTTAACTTTACTGCACAATTTTCCCCATTCACCTTCTATCATATTTACCTTTTCGTTCACTAGTTTAGTCATAAAACAATAGATATAAATAATTTTTTTTCCTTCCTTTTTAAAACATCGTCGCGAGTCGCAAAGTAAGCTGTGTATGCGACTGTATTTTTGGAGCGAACAAAGCGCGGGAACCAATAGCATGCAGGCACAGTAATACTGGCCAATATGTGATAAATCGCTCAGTGCCCAAGTTCAAGGCCAGCGTTCTTTTTTCACCGTTCGCGCGTACATTAACCTCCATTAGTCAGGTGATATCAATTCAGTTTCCACTGCTGGTTTTATGTTTCAGTATTTTCATGATTTTTTTCATGAAATTATCGTTTCATTTAGCTGTACTAACATGATGGCGCGTGAATAAAGCTAATAAAACGTTGTAAAAATATGTTTTTTTTTCATCAGGATCAAATTTATTTATGACCCATGATCAAAGGTATACTTGGTGCTGTCGCCTGTCTTAGTTTTCGGGAGCGTTCCAAAAATACCCTGTATATATATATATATATATCTTTCTTTGGGGCGTTCTATAGCCTCAACGGTTTAATGGATTTTAACATATGAGGTGTCATTAATGGAATCCGACGTTACTTTGCGGTAATCCATTATATTAAAAAAGTAAAGTTACAGCCGACTACACTACGTCAGAAGGGGTCGTGACGGAAAAATCTTCGACTTTTTCTCGCCAAGCCCCCATCCGCCAAAACCGTACCGCCCCGATAAGGAACTTTGTTCCAAAAAACGTGTGAGTGTCGTGGAACACTCGGTTGGAACGAAGTTACTTTCGGAGTATATTATTATTGATAAACATATTATTGATTAATAAACACAAATAAATGAATTACTAGCATCTATTAAAATTAAGCGTCATTTAAAATAATATTTCTTTCATGGCAAGACAAGAAAAAGTGCAAGGTAGATGGATAATATTCCATCTCGCTCGCATTATAGAAAGAGGGTCATGTCGGAAAAATCTTACACTTTTTTTCGTCTAACCCCCATCCGTCAAATTCGTATCGTGCGATAAGGAACTTCGTTCCAAAATATATTAGTGAAATCACTGCAGTCTCTCCTTCTAACAACAAAAAATATTAAAAAAAACGCTAGTTGCCAACCCATTTGCCAAGCATAGCAACTGTGGCAAATCCCTCCTAAGATGCAATCTATGGGAAAGGTATATTCTGCAGTAGATTTCTGATAACCTTAGAACCCCAGTAGTGATAATTATTTCTTTCACAGGTGACGAGTCTGCTGTCCACGTTGGTGACCTCCACCTTCGTTATAGAGAAGCAACCGCCTCAGGTGATGAAGACCAACACCCGGTGAGTTCTTGTGTGCTATGTTACTTTGTATCTTTGCTTGGAGGTGGGTACTGCCTCTGATGAGTGATAAGAATGACTGTGCAGTGGGGAGAGGGGAGGGAAGGAAGTTAATGAGAAAAATATTTTCAGCACGAATGGGTCAGCTGGACCGGGGAAGAACCACACTCTCACAGAATACCAGCGTAAAATAGCAGTTTAATGCTGCTGTGTTATGTATGGTGAGCGCAGCGAACCGGAGACCCTTTATATTGGAAAAGAGGCGTTCCATGTAAGTCCTCACGGGTGACAACGCATCTGCATAGATGTAGATGTTTATGGGACACAGTAATCACTAACCATCAGGTGGACTGTGTGCTCGCTTGTCACCCTTTTCCGTTAAAAAATTATGTCATTTCAATTTAATAGATTAGACTTTTGCTTGGTAACACCTTTACTCTTTTAAAGGTTATATAGTATTATAAAGTTTTGCCTTCTTATCAAATGGTTAATAGGGGATGGTAGCAGAAGACGGTGAACTTCTGCTACCATCAGGAACAGACACAAGCTAGTAGTACCAGTTACTCGACTCCATCGAGTCAGTAATTCATTCTTGGGGCGATGTATACGCTTTTACAACAAAATTCCAGAAAATATACAAAGTTTGACCTGTTCAAAGTTCAAAAACTTTATTAAACTAAGTTTGTATAAAAAGGGTTATTATAATATTAAGGAATTTATGGATGATAATAACCCCTGGAAATGAGGTGATCGCTACCAAGCTATTTCTAATTTGTTGTGTTGTTAATTTGTGTAACATCATGATTGTAAGCTGTTATTAAAAAAAAAAGTCCCGCTGGGTTTCTTGCTGGTTCTTCCCAGGACAGAGGTTTTTTCCGAACCAGTGGTAATCAATCAAAAGAGTGACTTTCAATAAGTATTATTTATAATCTATATTGAATAAAGAAGTTTCTGTTTCTGTTTCTGTTTCTGTTGTCATCCCCACTGCACTGACTTAGTAAAACAAAGCCTATTCACTGTTGCTTAGTTTTGATGTGGTAACTGAGATAGTCCGTATATTTACCATTACAGCCTATTTAAAATTCGCTGCTGGATATAGACCTCTCTTATGGATTGCTTTAAAAAATATCACTCGTAGTTTATCCCTCAATAGTTGCCACGCTTGGCAGAGGCGGGTCGGCAACCGGAGTTTTATTTTTAGTTTTAGACTAGATTTTTCCCGCGACTTCGCCCGCGTGTAATTTAGGGTTTTAATTATGTTGCGCGGGGAATCCTAATTCTTTTTCTAAAACATAAGTAGCCTAAGTTACTCCTTATAACTTTAGCTATCTGCCAGCGAAAGTCTGGTCGCAATCGGTCCAGCCGTTTCGGAGATTAGCCGGAATAAACAGACAGACAGAAAGACAAAAATTTTAAAAATTGTGTTTTTGTTATAAGTACCGTATATACTTTCATATGCATTTAGTAAACAGTTATTTTGACATTACAAACAGACACTTCAGTTTTAATTATTTGTATATAGATGTTATTAAGACGCTGCTGCCTATCTCCCGGTGAAATTCCCTCTGTCGCCGCTCACGATGCCCACGGGATGATATGGGGTAGTTGATATTCATACACCACCACTACAAGGTCAACGGTCCTTATATTTATTATTTACTGGTTCTATTTTGTTCCAGCTTCACGGCTACAGTGCGGCTGCTTGTCGGTGGTCAGCTGAACGTTCACATGACTCCGCCTAGAGTTACGGTAAGCTTAAATTAAAGATTCACGAATTAAATTTTTTGTTACGATGAAGGAAAACATCGTGAGGAAACTTGCACATGTCTGTGAAATAAGAAAAAAATTATTTCGAAGATGTGAAGTTCCTAAAACCCTCTCAGAAGTGAGAGGAGGCCTGTGCCCAGCAGTGGGACCTATGTAGTCTGTAACTTTACTTTACTTTTATGTGGTCGCAGGTGGTGATAATCTCCGAGCAACAAGCGCAATTGCTGTTGAAGAACGAGACGCAAACTGGACGCGGCAAGCAGCCGGTGGAGTGCGGGGACATCCTCAACAACAGCGGCTGCATGGAGTACCAGCCCACCAGCAGGCAGCTCAGCGTCAGCTTCAGGTAGTCTCACCAAGCCTGGGCTTTTTTAACACGAGGAAATCCTCATGTACACCTTTTGCTGGGAGGGCGACGGATAGTATTTTTTTTTAATAGAAATAGGGTGACAACGAGCACACAGTCCACCTGATGGTAAGTGGTTGCTGTGGCCCATAGACATCTACATCTATATTCGTTTGCGAAGTAAAATGCAGATGCGTTTTCAGCCTTGAGAACTAAGATGGAATGTCTGGTTTCCAGTAAAAACGATCTCCGGTTCTCTACACTCACCATACGAAACACAGCAGCGTTAAACTGCTATTTAACGCTGGTATTCTGTGAGAGCGTGGTCCTTCCCCGGTCGAGCCGACCCATTCGTGCTGCAACTATACTACTAATATAGCTGCAGCATGGCTCTACAACGTACAAGTTATGCTGGACTTCTACCAGCTAAAACCCTATGTTGGTCACCATCAGAGGGGTCCAGGGATCTCTGTTTGGAACGCAACTGGGGCTCACCTAGCCTAGGCTACACGAAGTAGAGTCACTTACTTACTTTAAGAAATTGTTTCATTATTTTTAGTTCCTTGAAGTCACGTGGTAACAGTGTAGTGGCGGTGTAAGAATATCCACTACCCCATTTCATTCCGTGGGTTTCATAAAAGGCGACAGGGATAAATTTAATAGAAGAAAGATTACCTCGTAGCTGATCCCCTCATGAGGCAATCTTTAATATTTGACAGCGAGACCAACCTTGACCACGCTGGACAGGCGATTTTTATTATTATTGAAAAATACTGTACTTAACTACTACTAATAAATTATATATATATATATATATTATGTAGGTGTATGTATTGATGTAGGTACCTATTACGTTGATAGTATTTTAGATATATTTTAGGATTACGCTGCCAAAGACAAAAAACCTTTGCAATATCTTTTTCCCATCTGTCCTAATATATTACAAATTTTTTTACACATGGTACAACCATGCTGCAGATATATTATGGTTGTAGCACGAATGGGTCGGCTCGTCGTCTATGGTGAGTGTAGAGAACCGGAGACCCCTTTTCACTGGAGTTTCATCTTAGTACTCACGGCTGAAAACGCATCTGCATTTTGTTTCGTAATCGAGGATAGATGTAGATGTCTATGGGCCACAGCAACCACTTACCATCAGGTGGACTGTGTGCTCGTTTGTCACCCTTTTCTATTAACAAATTATGATAACGAAATAAATATATTTCATTTCAATTTAATAGATTAGACTTTTGCTTGGTAACACCTTTAAAAGAGATAAAGTTTTGCCCTCTTATCAAACGGTTAATAGGGGATGGTAGCAGACGACGGTGAACTTCTGCTACCATCTAACAGTGGTAGAGCCACGCGGCAGCTTTTGCTGTCGCACGGATGGGCCGGCTCGAACCGGGGTGGTACCACGACCTCACAGAAAACCAGCGTGAAGTAGAGGTATACCTCTGCGTTTCGCTTGGTGAGTGCAGGTGGCCGGAGGCCCTTTTTTCTGGAAATGAGGCATTCCATCTTAGTCCCCACAGGTGACAACGCATCTGCATTTTGATTTGCAAAGGAGCATATATGTAGATGTCTATGGGCCACAGCAACCACTTACCATCAGGTGGACTGTGTGCTCGTATGTCATACTTATTCTGTAAAAAAAAATATTACTTCGAAAGTTTTTGACCGAATAAGATAAACAATTTAGGAGGCGGTATAAATTCTTGTCCACAGAAACATGCAGTTGAGAAAAATCAAGAGAGCCGAGAAGAAGGGGACAGAGAGCGTGATGGACGAGAAGCTGACTCTCCTCTTCCAGTCGGAGTTCAACGTCGGTGGTGGAGAACTGGTGTTCCAGGTGTTTATTGACTTTTAACCGTCTCTTTATTATCTTCACCAGCCACTCGCTAGAAGTCTATGCTTGAATAGTTATTTGTTATTAATTGTATACGTCGCAGCCAACTAGCTTGATTAACCTTTCAGTTAACAGCCTAGCCTTTCTAGGGTTCCGTACCCACAGGGTAACCAACGGGACTATATTACTAAGTCTCCGCTGCCCGTCCATCCGTCTGTTTGTTAGCGGACTGTGTCTCATTATCCGTAATAAGTAGACAGGTGAAATTTTCACAGAATGTGTATTTCACAACATTAATAATCTGCATTTGAACGGAAATAAAACTAATTGTGTTAAATTTACAATAACGAATGTTAAAACTCTGAATACCAATGTGTTTTTAAATGGGGAGGAATTGAGCCCTGTTGTATCCACTGTTTTTCTTGGCATCACTCTTGACGCAAAGCTCCAGTGGGGCCCCCATATATCCAAATTAGCAAGCAGACTAAGTTCTGCAGTCTATGCTGTAAAAAAGATTAGAGGTCTCACTAGTGTCGAGACAGCTAGATTAGTTTATTTTAGTTATTTCCATAGCATAATGTCTTATGGGATTTTGCTATGGGGAAATGCGGCTGATTCAGTAACTACTTTTGTTTTACAGAAGAGGGCCATTAGAGCTATTTACAATCTAAAACCGAGAGAGTCTCTTAGAGATAAATTTAAAGAAATAAATATATTAACTTTGGCCTCTCAGTATATTTACGAAAATTTAATGTATGTTCACAAAAACAAAGATAGTTTTAGTAAAAAAAGTGATATACATTCTGCAAACACTAGGAACAAACACAAGCTAGTGATGCCAGTTTCTCGACTCCACAGAGTCAGTAATTCATTCTTGGGGCAATGTATACGCTATTACAACAAGGTCCCGGAAAGTGTACAGGTTCTCTCTATTACCAAGTTCAAATGTTTTATAAAGCTGAAATTGTATAAAAAGCGTTATTATAGTATAAATGAATACATAATAAGGTTGATAATAAGGGGTTATATATATATATATATATATATATATATATATATATATATATATATATATATATAAGGGGCATGAGGTGGTCGCTTCCAAGCGGTTTCTAAAATAAATTTTGTAAATAGTTCGTAATAATTTATATTGCAAAATTTATTTAAAAAAAAAAGTCCCGCTGGGTTTCTTGCTGGTTCTTCCCAGGACAGAGGTTTTTTTTCGAACCAATGGTAAAGTAAAAAATGACTTTCAATAAGAATTACACATATAATGTATATTGAATAAAAATTATTCTATTCTATTCTATTCAATACATATGAAAATATATAGTAGTATAAAGCTGTTATTTTGACATTACAAACAGACACTACAATTTTATATATTAGTGTAGATTATTTTAAATGTAAATAACCACATTAATAGAACCCGTCAAGGAAAAGCCGGGGTAGGTCGCTAGTATTCTAATATATTTATCGGTGTATATTTGCGTGTTGAATCTCAAATCATGTCAAAAGGCCTTCCCACTCATTTTGTAACACTAAGAATATACAATGAACATTGAAATTTTATAATTAATTCTAATGTTATAGTGGAGTGATACCGAACATAGGCCTCTTCCAAGAAATGCCACAATGCTCGGTCCTGAGCCACCTGCATCCATCAACTTCCGGCATACCTGGAGTGATGAAGGGCGATAATGATGATGGTGATGAGTGGAGTGATGACAGAGAATTTGTTGTGTGCAGGTGTGGACGCTGTCGCTGCCAGTGGTGGTGATCGTGCACGGCAACCAGGAGCCGCATGGCTGGGCCACCGTCACCTGGGACAACGCCTTCAGTCCTCCAGGACGAGTGCCCTTTGCTGTGCCAGATAAGGTACGAGTACTGCAGATATACGTCTATCTCTGTTGGTGATCCAAGGCAACCATAATATCTATGTATAAAAATAAATTGCAGTCAGTTAGTCTCGCTAAAGCTCGAAAATATCTAGACTGATTTTGATGAATGTTTTTGTGTATTTGAGTGGTTCCCTGGATGGTTCAGATTCATTTAAACCCGGTAGATGGCGCTAGATGGTGTTGAGATCCAGAAATCATCTGTGCGAAGCCGGGGCGAATAGCTAGTTATTTATATACCGAGTGACGAAAACGTTATCACATAAAATGAAAAGACGTATGCTACATAAATTTCTTCAAATATACACAACTAAAAAAAAATATAACAATTAATACATTAGTCGCGGTAGCATTTTTTTCGTTTTAATATTAAATAACATCATGTAAATGCATACAGATATCACCTGATGAATTCTAGAAGGTCAAAGACCCATGCCATTTGAAGGCGAAGATAGGTAGTTTAAACGTTGTCAATCCGAACTACTCACTCAAATAAAGAAAAAATCAAACAAAAACTGTACTTACGGCTAACAATTTAAGGCATAATTTTATGCGCGAAATTAAAAACAAATGGACCGCGCGCTGCGGGTGTGTGAAAACAAATTCAAGCGAAAAATTTACTTAGATTAATGAAGTTAAGGCATAATTCTCTATGCGCGAAGTGACAAGAAATGGGACCGGGTGTCGAAATTATTATTTTTCTGGCGCGTGCGACGTTTTGTAAGTCACTTCAGGTCAGTAACCTATATATTATCAAGGCTGACTTATTTCTTGTCAATTTTTTACGCTATTTATTTTGTTTGAAAAATGAATTTTTTATTTTCTTTTATTATTGTTTATTTTATTATTTTAACAGACATATATCAACTTGTATTAACTGCTGTGCTATTTAACGTGATAACCTATTCGCCAGCCAGTTATAAAAATAATATTATTTTTTCGGCAATAATTATCCTAAGCCATCATTGAAGCTACACATCCAAAGATAGGAAGGAACCTTCTTACTATTCGAGTTGTATTTAATAAGGCTGTTTTTTTAATTAATCCTTTCAGCCATTTGCTCAAGTCAAATTAAGCCAATATTATTCAAATAAGAATAAGTATATAAATTATTAAAGGAGCACGATCAGAAAGTTATGGCCACCCGAGGCAAATGTGACAGTTGGGCAAGTGTGACAAATGCAAATTATGAGACATAAACATGTTTTTTTGGTCAAATGCCATCTATTGAGCAACGCAGGAACGTTTACGATATTGACTATACCGACAGTTAAGTACATAGCTTCAACTATTTTATAGACAGATGTCATTTGTTTTAAAACTACTCAGAAAACTTGCCCCATCTGGGGGAAAACTTATTGTTACACAAAAATGGACCTTTAAATCGTTTATAGATCTTAAAATATTTTGACATTAGTATCATACATAATACATAAACACTCACGGCTGTCACCCAGAGGGTAAGCAGGGACTATGGACTTCCATTTGGTACGATCCTGACACACCTCTCTTGCTTCCTTCACATCCATATACCTACGCATAACACGCTCGTCGATTAAAGGTACTCTTAATTTGGCTCATATTCAATGTATTGCCGATTTGGTCGATAAAGCTTCGTCTAGGGCGCCCCTTCCCGACTCTGCCGTTCACCTCTGCAACATAAATTTGCTTTGTCACTCTTTCCTCGTTCATTCTTTCTAGATAATCAAACCACCGTAGCATTCCTTTCTTAATCGTGGTCACAACATCATCTTGCAAACTACACTCTTCTCTTATCACACAATTTCTCACCGTGTCATTCCGATCCAGCCCTAACATACTCCTTAATGACCGCATTTCTACAGCATTTATTTACTCTCGTGCTTCTTCTGCCACATACAACTTTCACTACCATACATTAAAGTAGAGACTAACACAGCGTTGTGAATTGCCATACGGGCCTTTTTGGACACATTCTGACTTCCCACAATAGTGTAGAGCCCCATTCACTCTGTTTCCTGCGTTTCAATTTTGTCGAAAACCACAGAAAGTAACTACAAAAAAAGCATAATGTCACACTTACTCATTGATAGGGTAAGTGTTGCAGTCTTCCACTTTAATAAGTTTTAATTACTTTAAATTACAAAATGCTACTTGTAGATACTAAAATGCTTGATCAAACAAACAAGCATTTAATATTTGATGTTATGAAACTTAATTCTCTATGTTAAATCCTTAAATAGAGTGAATGGGGCTCTACACGCTATTATGAAGAGTCAAAATGTGTCAACTAAGGCACGTATGGCAATTCATAATGCCGTGTTAGTCCCTACTTTAATGTATGGTAGTGAAAGTTGGGTCTGGCAGAAGAAGCATGAGAGTAGAATAAATGCTGTAGAAATGCGTTCCTTAAGGAGTATGCTAGGGCTGAATCTCAAAGACAGGGTGAAAAATAGTGTGATAAGAGAAAAGTGTGGTTTGCAAGATGACGTTGTGACAAGGATTAAGAAAGGAATGCTTCGGTGGTTTGGTCATGTAGAAAGATTGAACGAGGAAAGAGTGACTAAGCAAATTTATGTTGCAGAAGTGAACGGCAGGGTCGGGAAGGGACGCCCTAGACGAAGGTTTATCGACCAAATCGGCGATACATTAAAAATGGGCCAGATTAGGAGTACCCTTAACCGACGAGCGTGTATGCGTAGATATATGGATGTAAAAGAGGCGAGAGAGGTCTGTCAGGATCGCGCCAAATGGAAGTCCGTAGTCTCTGCCTACCCCTCTGGGTGACAGGCGTGAGTGTTTATGTATTATTATGTTTATGTATGTTAAATCCTTATGCCTCCTCTACACTACTCGCGAAGTAGATCGAAGTTGGACGAGACGAATAGTGTAGAGAGGTACTTCGATTCGTTTCGTGCAACCTCGCTTCGCCTCGGGCGACTTCCGATCGCTGTCGGTTTTTTGCGCCAGAGTCAAAGGACTTCGCGAAGTACCCCGAAGTTACACGAAGCGTCTCACTACACTACTCGGCGTACGCCAGTTATAAATATTTTTTTATATATATATAAATATTAAATATGTAGCTTTCTACATAATTATTTATTTAGTTAACGCATTGACGTCGTACTATTCACTCAATTAGGTACCTTTAGCAGCTGCCTCTTGAACGTTATACATTTTAAGGGTGCGGGAGACTCGAGACGACTGAGCTCTTCGCGAAGTAGCACGAGTGTGGTCACGTTCTTCGCACTGCGATCGACTTCGACGAGCACTTCGTCAAAGTTACTTCGCGATTAGTGTAGAAGAGGCATTACAGAGTAGAAGTATTTAAATGTCAATTATAGTTTTAATTAATTAATGTCACACTTGCCTCGAGTGACCATACATGTTTGCATTTATTTATTTAATTTAAGCCAACTACCTATGTAACTACATGTCGCACGCCTCATAACGCGAAGCGTTATTAGGTAGTGCTTTACTCTCGACACGTTAAGGTAAAGCAATTTTGTGCTCTTAACATACCTCTATCATAATCATATTGCACTTATACAATAATATGAGTAGCCGTATATCAAGAAAACACAAATTAATCTATCTACATTATAGTTTTTAATATTGGTACTTTTTATTCATTTTATATTGCCACTTTGAAAAAAATTACATGGACGTCCGATGTTGATTTTGTATGTGGTCACGATAACTCCCGAAAAAATTGACGTATCGAGACCGGGTTTTTTTATTAGCTCCAGAATTACATCAACTGGTTCCCTATTTCATATCAATTGCCTAATACGCGTGGTTTGTTAATAAGATTATTTTCAACTTAAGGTTTTATTGCTATTAAATATTTAGAGACACTTCATATTTTTTAGCCATGATAGACAAAGGACAAATTTACCAAACAGCCTATATCGATTTTATACTTTGTGTAATCGATTTATTTTGTCACACTACCTGCTAAAATAATAGCTCGCCGAATTTAAAACGCGTAAAAAAAATATTTTAAAAGTCAGGAATACAATTTAATTTTTTTCATCAAAATTAAATGAAACGCTTATGCGGCGTGCACATTTAGATTTTACAAACTGTTTAAAATATTTTAGCGCGTCCAGTTTTTCAAGTTTTTATTAAATAAATGTTATGTTTATTCCTATAACAAATAAATTTAATAAATGTCAAATACCTACAAAAAATCAATAAACTCACAAAAATATTACAACAAATATTGAATGTCAAAAAATATTTTTAACAAATTATGCCATATTTTACCATTATTAAGTTTATGTTAGAGGTGTCCTCGGAGTAGTCTTACCAAGCTGTCTTATTACTGTGAATATCCCAAGTTACATTGTTAAGTTTTACTCATTGGATAATAAAAAATATTTTACAATATTTTATATTTGTTTTTTAAATTCGTTGGCAGGTCACGTGGGGACAGTTAGCTGAGACGTTACGCATCAAGTTCGGCTCGGCCACTGGCGGCGATCTGTCCGAAGACAACCTGAGGTTCCTCGCGGAGAAGATTTTCAGGTATGGCTTTTTAATTTACATTTCAATAGAGACAAAGGTTCAAAATAGTTGATATAAGAAATAAACAAAGTAAGAAACATTTATTTGACCAATACAAAGAAATTGATAACTAAGCAGTTATGTGATGTCAAAAAGGATGCCATCTCAGTGATAATCTGTGAGGTTGTCACACCTCTGGTTTAGGTCGGATCTTAATTGACTCACAAACAACCGGACTTTGTTGATGTTTATAAAATTAAAAATTTTGTACAACCGACTTCAATATAAATTATTAAAAATAACTCAAAAACTATTGGTCAGACCTTGACCAAATTTATATGGGACCACATGTAAAGCACCAGCTTTCAAATTAAAAAAGAATCATCGATATCAGTTCACCCAGAAAAAAGTTATGAGGTAACACACAAGAAAATTATCTTCTACGTGGTAGAGCCATGCTGCAGCTATATTATGGTTGTAGCACGAATGGGTCAGCTCAACCGGGGAAGGACCACGCTCTCACAGAAAACCAGCGTAAAATAGCAGCTTAATGCTGCTGTGTTTCGTATGGTAAGTGGAGAGAACCGGAGACCCTCTTTACTGGAAACGAGACATTCCATCTTAGTCCTCACGGGTGACAGCGCATCTGCATTTTGAGTCTTTATTGAGGATAGATGTAGATGTCTATGGGTCACAGTAACCACTTACCATCAGGTGGACTGTGTGCTCGTTTGTCACCCAACCTATAAAAAAAACATACAGTCGAATTGAGTACCTCCTCCTTTTTGAAGTTGGTAGAAAAGCATTTAAACTAATAATAATTTAGGAACTATAATTATAACTTCTAACAAAAAGTAAAAACTGACTTCAACGAAATCATTTATTTGCTACCTTTAGGGGTGGAATTAATTCTCTAAATTTGTAAAGGACCACCCTTGAAGTATAATCTATACAAATAAATAAAATTGAAGTGTCTGTTTGTAATGTCAAAATTACAGCGTTTAACTAAATGCATATGAAAGTATAAACGATATTTATAATAAAAATACACCTTTTTATAATTTTTTATCTGTTTGTTCCGGCTAATCTCCGAGACGGCTGGACAAATTTTGGCAAATGGCTGATGTCATAAGGAGTAACTTAGGCTACTTTTATTTTAGAAAAATAATTAGGGTTCCTCGCAAAAAAAATTATACCCTAAATTACACGCGGCCAAAGTCGCGGGGAACAGCTAGTCTATTTAATAAAAAAAAGAATCATTAAAATCGGTTCCCAATCTGCGAAGATTTCATATGATGAGAATACTACCCAAAATATTAATTATAATAGGCATTGCTTGTTTACCCTGCTGTGGGATTCCATCTGGTTGGGATTTTATTTATTTATTTATTATATTATATATTTTACTATATTTAATGTATTTTTATGCATATTTATCATTTTCTTTTATATATATTCAGCCCAACTAGATGAGATAACATAAACACTCACGCCTGTCACCCAGAGGGGTAGGCAGAGATTATGGACTTCCATTTGGCACGATCCTGACACACCTCTAAAACTAGATGAGAATACTATATAAATACCGCAGAATTATAATAGACCCATACTGTTAAAAGTTGGATGGTTGGCGGTCCACCACTGTGCGATTTAGAAGATGTTTTCTTCCTCGCACAACTTCCTTGTGGAATCGATTACCATCAGCGATTTTTCCGGACCGATACGACTTAGGGACCTTCAAAAAAAGAGCCAACTCCTTTTTAAAAGGCGGTTGTTGCGGTTGTTCGTGGGCGGCGGTAGTCACTTACCATCAGGTGAGCCGCATGCTCGTTTGCCCCTCTCATATAAAAAAAAGGCCTATTAAAAGTCCACTGCTGAACATAGGCCTCCCCCATAGATTGCCTCATAGGGGGGATTTGGTCATAGTTGTAATGTTACTGTTGGTTTAATAATTTCACCTCTCAGTGGGTCATGTGCTCCTGCTAGATTATCTTCTATACATCCAGTCATCACAGCCTATTAAAGTCCACTGCTGAACGTAAGGCCTAGAGCGTAGGCCGAGAATCGCAGTGTTTTTATTTTTAGTTGTTATCAAGAAGATGCTGCTGCCCATCTTCTGGTTTGTTACCCTCTGTCGCCTCTTGCGACACCCACGGGATGATATGGGGGAGTGGATAGTCTTCCATCGCCACTATACTATATTATAGTAGACCCAGAAATTATATGTAATTGTACTACAAGGTCATATTAATGCTTCAGGACCAGTCTCCCGATGTCCACGATGGAACTGAACGCGATGACAGTCAGCTGGACACAGTTCTGCAAGGACGCCCTGCCGGAGAGGAACTTCACTTTTTGGGAGTGGTTCTACATGGTGGTGAAGGTCACCAGGGACTACTTGAGGACGCTGTGGTGTGATCGGTAAGTATCACGTTTGTAATTCGTGGTGGGGCCGCGCTACTACTAAATATTAGTTAAATATTTTTATTTATTAATGTATATATCACTAATGTTTTAGAAAGAAACTTTAATCTCTACACTTTTCTAATAAATTAACTAACCCCGCCATGAAATCTGTCAAATATCTGGTGACAGAAAAAGTCGTGGATTTTCATAATTAAACTATGATGTGTCCTGCCAGAAGTTAATACATGCACTAGGTACACCATACATTTGGAGTTTCATTTCCAATGAACACATATGTATAACATCAGGTCGGGGAAAAAATTAAAAAATATTTTTTTCAATGTTTTGTACTTAAATTAATCTCATATTTTTTCAATGTTTTATAATCAAATAATCATTTAATTATAATATTTAAGTGCTATTTTATTCGATAACTTCTTGCCATCTTGTAGGTAGTGACATAATCCCGTTGCTGTAGAAATCTTGGGATTTTTGATAAAAAAAATACGACAAGTAGTATTGACAGTCCCCTCTCGATGTTAACCCAACACTACCCAAAGGACCGAAACAGGTGAAAATCTGAGGGTGAGGGGTCAGGACTATATGGTGGATGTATTTACACTTCCCAACCAAGCTCTCTCAATTTTGCTGACTGGCCAAAGATGTGTGTGGTTCTGGTGTTATCATGATGAAAGACCACTAATTTTCTGTTGATCAATTCCAACCGTTTTTTCACAATTTCTTGCTTGAGTCACGTTAGTTATTGGCAGTAGAGATCCGAATCGATGTTTTGTCCGGCGGTAAAAGCTCATTTTCTTTTGAAAGTATGAAGCCGAAGTAATAACATAATTTAACTAAATTTCTAATTCTATATTCGGTTTTCGGTCAACATTCTACACCTAATATCCAAATTTCAGTTCTTATACGGACGAATAGACATACAAACAGACGGATCCTTTTCACCTTTTGAATGCGGTACCCTAATAGGGATGGAATTTTTTTTTTGTTAATATGTTATAAGAAATCAAATTTTTGAATTCTGTTATAACTTGGAAAATTTGTCATTCGTGCTTAACAAGTTTTTTTTTAAATCTAGATTAATAATGGGCTTCATCCAGAAGAAACAGGCCGAAGAGATGCTAGCGAAATGTCCACCCGGTACCTTCCTTCTGCGATTCTCCGACTCGGAGCTTGGTGGGATCACCATCGCCTGGACTGGTGGTAAGTATTATCAACTATTGACAAGGTTTTTGGGTTTGAATCTTTTGACACCAATTAGAATTAGACCGGATATAAAATTTTTAGACTGTTGACTCCCCAGTCAATTTAATTTTTTCATTAATTACAGCCTGGCTAATGTCCACTGCTAAATATACGAATAGTGTTGAATATCTGCACTAGGTGCCAAATTTGGCAGGCGGGTTGGCAACCGCAGTTTTTTATGATTTGATATGTTATCAGGAAGATGCTGATGCTGCCCATTTCCAGTTTTATTTAACTCTTTTTTTTTATAGGAGAAGGGTGACAAACGAGCACACATTCCATCTAATAGTAAGTGGTTGCTGTGCCACATAGACATCTACATCTATCCTGGATTACGAAACAAAATGTACATGCGTTATCACCCCTGAGGACTAAGATGGAATGCCTCGTTTCCAGTAAAAGGGTCCTCGGTTCTGTACACTCACCATACGAAACCTAGCAGCATTAAGCTGCTTTTTCACGCTGGTATTCTGTGAGAGCGTGGTCCTTCCCCGGTCGAGCCGACCCATTCGTACTACAACTATACTACTAATATAGCTGCAGCATGGCTCTACCACGTAAAAAAACTCTGTCGCCTCTTACGAAACTCACAAGATGATAATGTGGGCTAGTGGATTTTCTTGTGTCGTTTTTTGGACATCCAACCAACGTTATATATTGTGAATATGAGTTTTTTTGGTCCTTTCATATAAAATTTGTTAATAACTCTTCTACAGAGCTATTTGTTGGATCCTAGCATAGCTATGACCCTTTGTCTCTACTGAACAAATTTTTGTATATTAAACGAAAGAAACTTCAGTCGAAGAAGTTATCCAGAAGTTACATGTTCACACAGTTGCACCAAACGATTATATTATATATGAAGATAATTTATTTATGATTTTGCCAACTATTTTTTTTAATCGTATGCTATAAAAAGATTATGATATGTTTGCTTCGCAGAGGGTAACGAAGTGTTCAGCCTCCAGCCGTTCACGTCGCGAGATCTGATGCTGCGCTCCCTGGCCGACAGGATCCTGGATCTCGCGCAACTCCAGTTCCTGTACCCCAATGTGGCCAAGGACGACGTTTTCTCCAAATACTACACGAAGCCCGGTGAGATAAAAAGCTTTTATTAATTCCTTCACGAGTTACAATCACATGTTTTTTTTTTAAGTAAAGTCCTTATTACTTATTATCAATCCATTACAGCCTATAAAAGTCCACTGCTGAACATAGATTGTCTCATGGATAGGATTTTGCCATAGTTGCCAAGGTTGGCAAGCGGGTTGGCAACCGCAGTTTATTATAATTTTGAGTCGTTATCAGGAAGCTGCTGCTGCCCATCACCTGTTTAAATTTCTCTCTGTCGCCTCTATATGGGGTAGTGGGTATTCTTACACCGCCTCTACATGGTTATTTACATATTATAAAATATATAAAAATATTTTTTAAATTTATAGTGATTACTTTATATTATTATATATTTTTATTTAATTTATGTATTATATATTTATCCACAATTATGTAAAAGTGTTAAATTAATATATTTTAACACGTGGCAGAGCCATGCTGCAGCTATATTAGTAGTATAGTTGTAGCACGAATGGAAAGGCTCGACCGGAGAAGCACCATGCTCTCACAGAATACCAGCGTAAGATAGCAGCTTAACACTGCTGTGTTTCGTATGGTAAGTGTAGAGAACCGGAGACCCTTTTTACTGGAAAAGAGCCATTCTATTTTAGTCCTCACGGGTGACAACGCATCTGCATTTTGATTCTTAACCGAGGATAGATGTAGATGTCTATGGGCCACAGCAACCACTTACCATCAGATAGATTGTGCGCTCACCATACGCGTATCACCCCTATATTTAAAAATAAGCTGCTCCAGTGCGTTTGCGAGCCTCAATAATCTTTAATTTTATCACCGAGTATTGTGGTATGTCAGCACTAAAATTATGCACACGAACTCGGTATTATCATATAGTGGCGTAGTATTAGTGGTTGTCGTCCGAGCCAAAAATGTTGCCTCTATATTCCTCCCTCCCCCTCCCCCTTTCAATTTGAAGTAAAACTCCATTCTTATATTCGTAAGTATAAAGCAAGTATGTTAATCTCTGCAATGGTAATATTATTTTAATCAAAACTATTCAGTACCTGCTTCTAAAATATTTTTTTTTAAATTTTCATTGGCAGCGTTTAAAAAGATAAGACGGGAAGCTTTAAATGTAACCTTTTTTTTAAATTTGCATCTGTATTTTGATTCTTTATTCAGGATAGATGTAAATGTCTATGGGTCACAGTAACCCCTTACCATCAGGTGGATTGTGTGCTTTTTCGTCACCCTATCCTATAAAAAAAGGAAAATCTTACAAAGTATTAAAGAAAAATATGTGAAAAATATTAATTCTACAGTAAATGTTATTAAAAATAATGTTTTATTAGATACCCTGGTGAGACATCTTTCCTAAAAATTGCTGAAAATTGAAATTCATGATAATGAGACCTTTTTTGGCAAGCCTAATTAAACTTTCGTATTTTTGATAGAAAATATTATAGTATATATAGGTAAATACTGGTAACAAGGCGTTCCATCTTAGTCCTGAAGGATGACAACGTATCTGCAATTTGATTCTTACTCGAGGACACATGTAGATATTTTTAGGTGACAGCATCCACTTAACATCAGGTGAACAGTCGTTCATTTGTAATCTTTATTCCATAAAAAAAAGTCAGTGGTCTGTGCAAAATGAAATGTTTTTTTTTCTTTCTTTTATTGTATCCTTCTCTCTCACTCTATACTATCTATCTCACTCTTTTGAATCTCAACTTTGTTGGGGACTTGTTAGACCCACGTGTATGTGGGATTTAATAACAAATAATAACGTGCGAACTGTTATTTACCTAGCATGGTGTAAAAGACGACTAATGGGATATTGAGTTTGTAATTGCACCTATTACTCTTTTCTATAATTTTTCACCTATACCCATTATTTTTGATCCAAATAGCTCATTCTCCCAAATTATCATTGTAGTCCGTCTTAGGAGTGAGGCGTATTTATCGTAACAGATTGAAAAAACAGGTATCTTAAAATAGCAGACTGTAACTGTGACAAACAAACTGAAAAAATAGCTCCTGTACCTCGAGATAACAAATCCAGTAAAAGACAGTCACAAAATTTTCTTTATTCATACATATGACAGTTACCAGTTTTTGGACAGTGGTAGAGCCACGCGGCAGCTTTTGCTGTCGCACGGATGGGTCGGCTCGAACCGGGGTGGTACCACGACCTCACAGAAAACCAGCGTGAAGTAGAGGTTTACCTCTGCGTTTCGCTTGGTGAGTGCAGGTGGCCGGAGGCCCTTTTTACTGGAAATGAGGCATTCCATCTTAGTCCTCACGGGTGACAACGCATCTGCATTTTGATTTGTAATAGAGGATAGATGTAGATGTCTATGGGTCGCAGCAACCACTTACCATCAGGTGGACTGTGTGCTCGTTTGTCACCCTTATCCTATAAAAAAAACCTTTGTTAGAATAAGATATAAAATGTTACTGTGACACCCTGTTACTCGTCACAAGTTTACACGTTACTTTCCTTTTCTCGCATAGATTCAACACCTTAGTTAGAAAGGGAAGTACCTACTAAGACTGTAGTAACAGACTGATATTATGTAATAGGTTTTTGGAACTGATATTTATGTGTAACTGGAACAGGCAGAACAGATATGCTAAATTACCTGTTATAGCCTACTTCAAGTCTGTCTAACACCTCGGTGATTACAGGCTTAATTTTATGTATTTATGTATGTATGAGGAGGCGCAAGGTCACTCAAAGAGCTATGGAGAGGGCAATGCTCGGGGTTTTTCTGCGTGATAAACTTAAAAATGAGGATATCCGTAGTAGCCAGCGTAGCGTAGTAGTAACCAGAGTGATGGACATAGTCCAACGGATTAGTAAGGTGAAGTGGCAATGGGCCGGCCGTATAGCTAGAAGAATCGACAATCGATGGGGAAGAAAGGTTTTTCGAGTGGGGCAGCCTCGTACCGGTAGGCCGAGTTCAGGGTGGCCCCCCACAAGATATAGTGCAGGTGGTTCAGGATCGTGCTTTGTAGTGTTCCTTGGGGGGGCGGGGGGGGGGGGGGGCTATGTTGGACACACTATTTTCAATTTAGTAATTGTTTGTGAGATTACTTGTTTATGTGTGTTTTGCTTTCTATCAAAGTATTACAGTAAAGTTATTGCCTAGATTCGTCCCACTTCTAGGTCTAGTCTCTTTTAATTCTTGAGAGGGTTTTGATGTAATTATTCCACTGTATGTTGTCGGACTTCACATGTTGTCGAAATACATATATTTTTATTTCTTAGATATGTATGTTTCCTTACGATGTATTTCGTTACCATCGAGTGAGTGGTGGATACTGAGGTGTCCGTGAACACCTACATCTATTCTCGATTGAAGATCGAAATGTAGATTTATTACCACATCTGAAGATTAGTTAGAAGTGTAAAGTGAAAATTGAATGTGGGTTTGTTGGTGTTGGTTTTTTTTTATAGTATAGGGTGAAAAACGAGCACACAGTCCACCTGATGGTAAGTGGTTGCTGTGGCCCATAGACATCTACATCTATATTCGTTTGCGAATCAAAATGCAGATGCGTTGCCACTCATGAGAACTAAGATGGAATGCCTCGTTTCTAGTAAAAAAGGGTCTCCGGTTCTCTACACTCACCATACGAAACAAAGCAGTGTCAAGCTGCTATTTTACGCTGGTATTCTGTGAGAGCGTAGTCCTTCCTCGGTCGAGCCGACCCATTCGTGCTACAACTATACTACTAATACAGCTGCAGCATGGCTATGGCTCTACCCATATAAAATGGTGGTGTTGGTGCAGAGAACGAGATGCTGAAGAACGGGTACGTGAAGCCGGTGCTGGTGACGACGCTGCCGCCCTACATGTCGGCGTCGCCCGCCTACGCGCACGCGCACTCGCCCGACTCGCAGCGCAACACGCCCAGCGTGCAGAGCAGGTACGAACAGACCCCACACCCCCTGTACCCCTACCCCAAGCTCCAGACCCCCTACCTCAAACCTCAGATCCCCTGCCTCAAGTATCAGACCCCCTAAGCGAAATCATAGACTCCAATATCTCAAACCCCCTACCCCAAACTTCAGACACCTGCCCCAAGCCCAAGACCCACTAACCCAAACCTCAGACCCCTACCCCAATTCTCAGACTCCTAACCCAAACCGTCAGATCCACTATAACCCTGACTCACACCCCGAATCCCTTAAATCCTCCATCAACTTAACTTCACCGCCATGAGATCTGTTAAATATTTCACCTCATTTCAAAGTGGCACCGCCCCAATGATAGTAAAAGTTGTGAAATCAAACACCTGTCCCGAAACTCGAAATCCAGAAGTTCTTAAATATATACTCTATTTAAATAGGTACCACCACGAAGCAAATACAAAGAGGAGACACCTAAGCAACTGTACACTGTGATTCTAACTAGGTCCTGACGTCATCACAGTGGACGTCGCTTTAGTTAGTATATTGTCAGCGTTCATCCTGTGCGCTTATGTGTCGAAAATCGCAAATTGGTGTATTTTCGTAGTATTAAGAAGAAAAACATAAAGTATTGTGTTTTATCGTATAAAAATAGACGCATATAGACGCTCTGATGCTATGGATGGCATCACATTTCATTTGTAAGTAATATTATACCTAATTTTTTAAAAATATTCTCTGCGTCGGCTTTCAAATATAATTAAATATATTCGACACTAAATGAAGACACTGTGTCACAAGAACTAAAAATATAAAGGCACGTAGAGCTCAGTATTGGTAAAATAATCATACGAAGGTGCTGAAATTTGTTTTGCATTCAGTCCTAAAAAAATTTTAATCTCCAAAACATTACTTTTATAGTTTTTATAACCATTTTGTGAACAGGTCGCCATTTGTCGCCAAGGTAGCTGTACTACATTGCAACATCGATATGGAACGATGCGAGTAGTTTTACTATTTATCGGTAGATGTGGGTGGGGCTTAACATCCCCTCACCCCGCAAATTGTCACGCGTTGTTACACAGTGAAACCTAATTACAACACCTCCTCTTTGTATTTGCTCCGTGGGTAAACACCCTCTCGTCTATTTCTACCACCAAATAGCAGTGCGTCTATTGTTGTGTTGCGGTATTGAAGAGTACGAAAAATGAGTATAATTAAAGGGTGCTCAGGCATTCCATCTTACTTACTCCTCACAGGTGACAACGCATCTAGCAGGTGTACATGAACTGCAGTAGTCACTCATCAAATGGACTGTAACTTCCTTTGTCACCTAAATGCTTCACAGCGTGTAATTATACTGGCTCTCTGTGCTCTTCAGATGAAAACATAGCGCTGCAAGCACAGCTGTTTGTCAGTAGAAATAGGTAACAGAGTGGTGCCTGATACCTATTAATTTAATATAGAGTATAATATAGTAATAACTGCGCTGTAGCGGTGCCAAATGTGTGAAATTATAAAAATGCTATTTTCTACCGACTTCAAAAAGGAGACGGTACTCAATTCGACTGTATGTTTTTTTTATGTGTGTTACCTCATAACTTTTTTCTGGGTGAACCGATTTCGATGATTCTTTCTTTTATTTGAAAGCTGGTGCTTCTTACGTGATCCCATATAAATTTGATCAAGATCTGTCCAATAGTTTTTGAGTTATTCTTAATAATTTATATTGAAGTCGGTTGTGCAAAATTTTTTAATTTTAAATTATTGTTTTATTGAGTGCATGTCGCTCTTGTCAGTTTGTTTTGTTCTTTTAGTATTTTTGTTTATATTTTTGTTACTCTATGGTTCATATAATTTTTTTTATATTTTTTTTTCCCAATTATAGGTACATGCTTGAGTTTTGAAAGAAGCTGGAATGAATATAATGATTATATTCTTTAAATTAAGTTTTATATTTTAAGTTGAATGGTCACATCCTTTGTTATTGCTTTTTTTATATATATATTTTTGTGTCTTATATACATTTAGAATATAAGTGATAACGTGCTTCCTCGTAGTGATAAAATTTATAAAAACTTTTCACGAAAATCAAAACTGAATTTTGTTGCGATCATTTTAAAGTACATTTTAGCTTAACGACGCCTTCAGTTTCGATTTACGCGGAAGTAAAAAAATGCGACAAACTATTAAGACTGCGGATCTATATATATAGGGTGATTTATTTCTTATTATGCAACGACCAAAAAAGTTATAAAAAAAATATTTCTTTTCTAGCTGCGGTACTACAATTTTACAGCTGTAAGGGATTAAAAAAATAAAAAATAAAAAAAATATCACAGGAAGGAAATGTCAATTTGTCTCGAAGTTAACAATGTAGATGGATTAATTTTTTTATTGGTGATTGAATGTTAGTATTGGCGGAAATCTCGACCGCAACTACAAAATACGCTTGCATAAAATTGCAATTAACAATTTTATTGTTGCCTTCGAGGATTCCTAAAAATTATTATTTAAAGATTTATTATATTTTCGATTATTATGTATTAGGGGATTGTATTAAGTTGTTGTCGAGATTTGAGGCTACAGTTTGCTGCAAGACGAATTTCTTAATTATTGTAATTGGAGCTTACGCAATATATATACCGCCTTTCTATTTTTTGTACTTATTTAAATAGGCCATAAAACGAATTGTTACAGTTGAATTCTGGCCATTTTTCATTCAAAATGGCCGCCTTAACGATGTTAGATAATGCTACTTGACAACGTCAAGTCGGAAGTTTTTTAGTCTTGCATCAAATAAATTCGAATAAAAATCAGTATTCAAAATGTTAGGAAAAAAAAATTGGTGTTTTAAATATAATGTCGTTTCGACCACTAAGTTAGTTATAAGCCTTATTTTTTTATAATAGTGTCGATATTTGAATAGGCCCTTATGTTTAAGGTTTGACAGATATCTGTGAGATATTGTCGTGTTGACGTTACTCGTGTGTTATTTAACCAAATGATAGGTTGTTGTACCAATAAGTATCGAACTGAAGAGTCAATTTAATTATGGAAAGTATCCATTCTTACGCTCGACTAGAAAATGAGATATGTGAACGTTTAAAAAATAAATTAAAAAAAATATTTACATACTAAAAACTATCCCACAAGTTAATATGATTGTAGATTAAAATTTAAAAAACGCCCCGAAACAAAAAGAGCTCATGATCTTCAAACGGTTGAACAGATTTTCTTCAAACATAGATAAGAACACTCAGTTAACCTTTCAAACGAAAAAAAAACATAATCAAAATCGGTTTATTCGTTCATTATTATTATTATTTTAAACTGGCTTTACGGCTCTGGGTTCTAGCCCTTCTGAGCCTTTTATTCGTTCAGGAACTATGATAACACAGACATATACATAGATACACACTATAAACTTATATCACACTTCTGATTTCGTCGGGGGTTAAAACAATTTCAGTCGATAATAGCAAAATTAAAAACAAATTTAAGCACATCACTGCTAAAAATACCGGTTTAGATATCAAACGTCAATTTTTTTAAAGTAGTTTTTTTGTAGGTTGGCTCTATTTTGTTAGCGTTATTTCCTATCAGAAGTCCACTGCTGAACGTAGACCTCGCCATAGGTTGCCTCATAAAGGGAATGGTTGTCACGGTGGGCAGGACCAGTGGACAACCGCAATTTTTTTTAGTTGTTATTACAAAGACGAGAAAGTTGTTTCCCTCTGTCGCCTCTTCCGACATCCACTGCACGATATTTGGTACTGCTATTTTTTATAGCTACGTCCATTTGTAGCAGAGATACCTAAAATCCCTCAACGTTATACAGGATTATTTTTCAGTGTAGCCAAATTTTAAACTTAAATTCAATTATATAAATGTACAGTTTTTGAAAATACGCTTAAATAATGCTTTTATTTGAAATTATCCCAAATTCAATGTGATTAATAGGCAACAACGTTTTTGCCTACCGATCGACACTTACGAATGTGTGCGTGTGCAGTAAAATCAGTTAAATTAATGCATGACCACGCATTTTGAATTTAAAAGGCAAAAGGATGTTTGAGTTTTTTTTATTAAATTTTTTTTTCACCATTGGCCTATATTACTTATTCTGAACGTTCTCTGTACATTTGGCCGGTTATTGTAAAATAACCCTGTATAAAAAAGAAAACTTCTTCATATCAGTCGTACTATTTATCTATTGTTTCATCTTGAATAGGTTTATCACAACTAGTACGCTGTTTATAAAATTTATTATTTTCTCGCTGCCCGTATATTACATGATAATATAAGTAATTATGTACTCGTATAGCTGTTACCCGACGCGTTGCTGCCGCAAAACATTTAATTGTGGAAATGTCCTTTTAAATTTGGAAGTTATATTGTTTAATTAGGAACCAATGATAACACATTTATTTAAGTTGAGTGATATTTACCTCTAGCTGCTATAACTTTCAAATGAATTTGTCGGTACGATCGATACACGCGCCACCTACTGTAAGTTAATTGCACTATGCCTATAAACTTCGCGCAAGTGCAAGCAATAGGTTGACAAAGTTTTACCGCAATCTGATGAACGGTGTGGCAGCGCATTAAATACGAACAAACAAATATACATTTTTATAAATATACTGGAACAGAATAATATAAATATCGCGATTAAAAAACAGGGGTTGATAGTAGAAAAGTGAAAATAGAAAGTTGTATATATTTTTCAATGCTAAATCATAATAAAAAAAATTTAAAAAAAAATGAAAAAATGTAGGGTTGGGTACCCTTATCATTTAGGGGTGTCAAAATGGATGTTGGCCTATTCGCAGACCTACCCGATATGCATACGAAATTTTGGTAACAAACACCGCGACACGAGAATTTTTTATATTAGATATAGTCGTTATAATAAGAAATTCGAAATTCCGCAGATGGATTACTCAGATAGTCCGGTTGTTTGAAATTACTTTAATTAGATTATAAAGGCTGTTCCATATTAATAAGAACGTAC